AGAGAAAAATCTGCATTTTTATATTTTTAATTGTTATTATATATTTTATTAATAAATTTTAATATTATTATATTTTTTAATTATTATAATATAATAATATTAATTTTTAATTAAAAAATCAATTTTTATATTTTTAAATAGTTTAAATTTAATTGAAGCTTGCTTTCTAATTGCAAAAAATATTAATAAAATTAAAAATTTTTATATAAAAAAATTATTGTTAAAATACAAAAATAAAAAATATTTATTAATAAAATTAAAAAATTTTATATAAAACAAAAATTTTAATTTTTATTGTATTTTATTATTAAAATAGTATATATAATTCATATAATTTTATAATTTTGTCAGTCATTATATATATTTTACAAATTTTAAATTATTAAATTTATAATATAATTTCTAATAAAATTGTGTTTATATGTAAAAGTGAATTAATAAAATATAAGCAATTTTTATTTTAATAAATTTAATTTTGAATTTAGATTGGTACATTATTTATATTTTTCTAAATAATTATAAATATAAATAAAGTACAATTATAATTTGTTTGATTTTCGTTGATTCATCTCATATATTGAATAAATAAATAATAAATAATAATACTTGACTATCTCTAGTTCTATAATAGTATAGCATTTCTTTTCCATGAAATAATTTACAAAATAAATTTTCACAAATTTTTCTCAAGTTAAGTTAATTCTCAAAGCTATGAAATAAATATTTTTTGTTCTATTAAACTCATAAACTTAGTTGCTTTTCTGAGTTTATGCAACTTAACTGACATTATTCACGAATTTGAATCAAATTTTTGTGAGTTTAAGCAAAAAATTATATTTATAGATTGCTGAATTTTACAAGAAATTCATGAAATTACTCGAGTTTGCAAAAAGATACATCAATTCTTTTGATATTATGCATACGTAAGCTCTACTAAATTTTGATTACATGCAAATTTTCATGATAGAATTGTTCGAATTTACATTATCACAAATTCATTATTCAATGCAAATGTTCAAAAATTCATTAAATTTAATCTTATTCAAACATTAGAAATATTCTAGCAATGTTCAATAAAATATATCAATTCATTAGGACTGATAACAGTTCGATCTGGCTCGGTCCAAAAGCTCCGGTATTTATAGTTATTACTAAAATGGGTTGAGGCTTATAAAAATAGCAGAATAGATAGAAATTGACCTGCTAAATATAGAGCATAACGGAAATATAACTTGATTAGGACTTTCGGTCCCCATTGAACGGTTCATGTTGAAACTCAGCCTATTGAGGTATCACACGATATTAGGCCCGCAAAAGTCACAAACTCCAGAATAAAGGACTGTACTCTTGTCGGCTCAAGTAGGACAGGCTTGGGACCCGGTCCTCTAAGACTTATTAACAGCCCTACAATTCATATACATGTACTTATGTGGTGCATTCCAAGTGGATAACAAAATATGAATTTTATTTATATTCCATTTTTCGAGGTATCGCTATTAAGCTTTGAAAATACTGTAATTCCAATATATAAATTCCGAAAACTAGTGAAATTTACGAAGAATCTATAACGATAACAAACATATATATATATCCAAAACCACATTAATTCTTGGAATGTATCATATCAAATTCCTGAATTAAATCAAAATTTTGATTGTATAACAATTTTCAACAAAATTACTCGATCACTCGAATTCAGAGCAAAAATTATTGGATTTTCCAAAATTATTCTGCAAAATTTAAGAGTATCTTGTGCCTCACTTTACCCTTAAATAACTTATGTGTAATCGTTAGGGTAAGGCTTTGAGTCAAGAGAAAGATTATGTTTGGATTTTATTACCGTATAGCGCTGCTTACCTCACATCTATTAATTTAGTAATGGACTATAGAAGATATTGTACTATGAATCTTCGATTTGCTTAATGTATGCGGATCTTAAACGTTAACGTTAACATTAATGAATTTACGTATGCATTTGGTATTAATTTTTTGCTTTACAGCAAAATCCTTCATGAATTTGTGCTAGTATACGATTTGTATCTCGAGAAAAACCATCGAATTCGCAATTATAACTACGTACTTGTTTACAATCGTTACAAATTCCATCCAAACCTTGAATTCTTTTTATGGGAAACATTGCCTAACCAAAGCTCGATTCGAGAATATGTAAACCATATTTTCGTAATAAATTTGATTATTGGAATTTAAAAAGCATGGCAGTCCAATCTTTGCTTTCAATCCATATTTTGTACATCTCGAGAAAATGGTATTTCAAAGATATTATGCGTTTCCTTTGATAAAACATGTATCGGTACACAGCCCGTTAAACCGAAGATTTTAAAAATTCGGTTTATTTAGTAAATTCGGTTTGATTATTGTAACTGTTCAACTTCGATCTACCAAAGCGGGTTTATTATATAACGGTTCCTGGCTTATGCAGGTTTTAATTAGCGCTTCGGTTTAACGGGCGGGTTGACCGTGTATTATGAGAAATTAATTTGATCAATTGATAATGCAAAGCAACAGTATGATGTCCCATAACTTGTCTGCTAAATAATTCTTGCCTAGCTTATTAGACTTATTAGAACAGTGATACTAGAAAATTAGTGATGTAGAAAATAAGATTAGTATGGCAAAAGTATTAATTTTCAGAATCGAAAATTATGTAATTAATTAATTAATTAATTCACGTTGTTATTCATCACTCTCTTTTAATAAAACCGTAATGGCCAAGTGACATTGTAAACTCTTTATTTATTTCTTTCTGTGATTAACTACTCTAAAAGAAAGAAAAAAAGTCATAATATAAAACCATAAAGTATTGTCCACTTCCTTTACATAGTGATAGTGATTGTTGTAGCTCAGGTGTTTGTACCACCTCAGGCTCTACTGGTAACCCTGCATTAAGTATCGCAGCAAACTGTAAACGAGATAATCATTGATTGGCCGAAATAAAAATAGAATGTATGCTAAATTATAACTACATACTCCTTATATTACAAGACATTGTTTTTTAGGTTAACAAGTTACAAGAATAACTTTCCCGCCCACATCGTCAACTATATGGCGCCAATTTTTATTCAAATGACAACAATAAAATAGCGATAGAACTACATTATTGTATGTATGCTGTACACTAGTATACTGAGAATAATGATAATAATAATGAATTATGTCATCCAATATTATGCCTATCGAATTGTCAAATTGGGAGAACAGCACCGTTTGGAATGGAAAGTGATGAACAAGAATTGAACACAACCAGGAGTCATTCAAATCCTAATCTCGTTGTTTTATCAGTATATATATCGATATATATGTTAGACTATATATATATGTCATTCATCAATGTCCTATTTTTTCGGTTACGGATTCCGGGATAGTGAAATGAGAAATAGAAGGACGGTGGATGGAATTATAAAAAAAACTGTTGTGATAACAATAATACGTATCGAAGACCGGACACATTACTTGTTTGCTTGCGCTCGCTTGCTTGTATTGTTTGTATTCCATTATTTTTGTCGTGAAATTAACTCAAATTTCCGTCGCATTTTTGCCAAAAGATCCGAAAATTAGTTAGAATGGGCGAGACTTTTGATGATTAAGGGAGATGACTAATTGAGGAAACGATGTCTACGTTGTTTTTCCTGTTTATATATTTATTGTCTCTTTTTATGTCTCTTTAAGCTGTTAACGTGTTCTTTACTGTTATACTCTACTTTATGGATAATGACGGTCACGGGTGTGATACTATCTATAGGAAAAAAAATTGTGTGCAAAAAAAGAACGCGCGTTCTTAAAAAACAAAAACCTATTATCGTTTAAGACATTGTTCCCAAAAACAAGATAATAATAACAACAATAATAATTACTAACCATCCACTGTAGCAATTTCTATTATTTAAATGTCGTTACTTCATAATTTTTGATTGTGTATATAATTTAATTCCGATCGTAATAATGCCTATTTTCTAGTTCACACGACCAGCTGGTTGGATCATTCATTCATTCATTCATCCACACATACGTATTCATTCAGAAACTGGTTATTAAAGTTAGACTTCTTTGTAAGTAGTAGTAGTTGTTGTTGTTGTTGTTGTCATTAACATTTATACACAAAGACAAACAACATCGGGTGACGTTTTTTGTTGCATTAATTTTTGATACTAACATAATACATATCGATATTGATTTTTGGCAATATCGATATCGATATATCGATATAGTTCTAATCTAGTATAGATAGAATGGTGATTATCGTTATGACGAAAAATTAGGGAGATTGTTGTGAAAAAACGGCGCCACCGCCACGACAACAATAGTCAGTTCAAGATTGATTATATTCGAGAAACATCCATTTTTTCAAATATTCATCCATCTTTAACTTTGACTCTCTCCCTTTTTAATCGTTTTTTTACTTTTTTCTTTTAAAAAATAAATAATCTTGTATTATTTTTCTTGCATCATCATTTGTCATTTTCCGCCCTCCCTCTCTCGCTTTTTTCGCATTCTTTCCTTACTCTCTACATTACATTACACGTCACAGTCTTACATCAAAAATATTAGAACTACTTACTACTCCTATCATCAATCATCATTATACTAGCAAGCCTAATAATAAACAAAAAAATCAACAACCCACATCATACGTATACATTTCCCCCTTGCGATAGGTGTCATTCGATTGATTGCCTACGTCATTTGACACTTTGTTGTGTGTCTCTTAAATCAAAAAAAAATAATAATAAATCAATTACCCTTAAAATATTTATAATCGAAAAAAAAAACTTTCTCAAAAGTGTGCACGTTGTGTGCAAGCTGTGTAAGCTTTGAATTTTAATTAACTTTATATCAGTTATCATTAACTTTATAAATACCCTAAAAATAGTAGTAGTAGGCACGACGACGAACAACTACGACGACGACGTCATAAAATAAAAACTAAAAATTTAAAACTAAAAAATTTATACTAAAAATTTAAAATAAATAATAAAATAATAATGCCGGCAACACGAAAGCACTTACACATAGCAAAACCACGTCGTCGACAACGCGCCGTGAGTCTAACAACTCGAGCCTCACGCTGCGGCGTCAAAAATTATGTGAACGTATTGAAATCTCTACACTCGCAAGTGGAAGACTTTTTTCCGGTCACCAAAGAATACATGCAAGAGTACATTGAAGTGAAGCGAAAACAAAACAGCATCAAGGCGAATTCATTGGACCAATATTTTCAACATATTGAAAGTTATAATATGGCATTGGGTCACGGGTGGGATTCCGAGGTTTTTGAGCCAATGATGCGTGAAGTGCTGGAGGATCTTGAACAGGCTGAGGGAAAAAGAAAAATTGAAAGAAAGATGGTGGATGTTAATAATATTACTGCTAATGCTTCTGAAGAAGGAGTTGTCGCTAGGTCAAATTTAATGATTGACCAGGAGAATTTAATGAGCGATGACGTTATTGATAGTCACGTCAACAATGTCAACAGTACTAATAGTAGTAATGACAATATTAATCCTAATAATAGTAATAACGCCACCATTAGCTCTAATATTAATCCCAATAACAATGGCATGGATAACAATCATGGATATGGTAAGTATTCCTACCTTTGTAATAATTTTTATTTGATTTAAATGATATTTTGCTAATTGTATATTTAGCTCCCTCAGTAACACTGTCATGCTTTGACGCATCACACGGATTAAAACTTGAGAGCACCTTACAAATATCCCTTGCCAATCTTGATCCAAACGATCCTTTGCTCTCATTGCGAAGTTTGTGTGACTCGGTGGCGAGATCACGATTTCCAAAACGATGGGGTGACGTGGACCCTTCGAGAATATATTTTCGTAATGACATGTGGAATGACTCGCAACCGTTGCCTTTGCACGACGAGAATTCATTCAAAATGTTTTGGTCGTTGCATCATAATGCATCGGTACCAGGTAGTGAGGTGCATTTGGTTGTGTATACACGACGAAGTTCAGGTAATTGTTGTTTAAATTAATTTGATTTGATTGATTGAATTTATGAGTAAAAAATATTTAGCTCGAATTTATCTCTTGTTTTTAGCGAAAAAACTAATTATAGGTACAGATATCGATCCACTGTCAACATCGATACCAATTGCTCCTTTAACTCCACGAAAAAGCCCACCACGGATTACAAATCCTGCCCCGGCAAACCTTGATATGCTTTCAGGTTAATATTCTTTTTCCTTAAAATTTTTATAGAATTTCATTCACTCAATTCTTCCTTCATTATTACAAAACAGAGAGTCTCGCTCCATCGCCGACATTTCAACAGGTGAAAGCCATAACAATCAGATCACCCACTAAAACATACAAATCAAATATTGCTGTGACCGACACTACCACCTTTGACTCATTACTCAAATTCGCCATCAAAAAACAACCACCACCCGGTAAACAATTTGTGTTGCAAAGTGCTGATGGAGAGTTGGAATATATGCCCGAAGATCACGTAAGAAAGGTGATTTTTGGAACTGGGCACGCAGAAGTGATAGTTCGAATTGAGGATATGCGAGAGATCGATTTTACGCAATTTTGATTTTTTTTTTTAAAAAAAAGATGGATAATTTGTATGGAAGAATTTTTCGAATATGCAGATTTCGTTATTTATTAGCAATGTATATTATTATTTATGGAAAGCAAGTTGCTGAATAAGCTATGAATGAATCAGACAAAACGTGTGAACATTGTTTGAACATTGCTACTTTAATGGCAAAGAACATCAAGATATTGTTTATTTGTACAAAGTTTTTTTTTTTACTTTTCTTTTTATTATTTGACAAACAATCTTTTTTTCAGCTTTCCCAGTTTATTTTGTTTTATCAACATTTGATCTTTCTCCCCGATTTCTTCTTCATTTTTGATGTTATGGTACTCTTTAAATAAAGTAAACAATAATATATAGGCTTTCTTCTTGATTAAAAAAAGTATTTCGATGAATTTTTCTTGTCCAATTTGGTTCTTCTTCTTCGGGATTTTTATCCTATTATTTCTTGTACATTTTCACTCATTCATTTCACTCACTCACTCACATTCATTTCTTTCACTCACTCACATTCATTCATTTTATTCACTCACATTCATTCATTTCATTCACTCACTCATTTCATATTACACTATCACAATCCAATTCCTTTCACCGCAATAACATAAAATCAATCATTCTTTAAGCTTATTTGCACGCTTCACCACAGAAACGTAAAATTTTATAGTTTTTTTGGGTTGCATTTTCGCATTCCACGATGTCCAAAAAATCATTTTTATTATTTTATTTTATTTTATTTTTATAACACGCGAAAGTTATATATAAGTAGCGACAGACAATAAGTCGCGCGCTTTTTTTACCTATAAGAATTTCATTTGTATATATTTTTGTGAATCACAAAAAAAATATTTTTATATATTAAAAATTTCGTGGAACATTACGATAATAATAAATAAAAATAAATTTTGAAAACTAGGTTCTAGGTGGAAGCATTGTCCATTATCTCTACAAATTTAGATCACGCGAGATAACACGCATAAAATGCACAGGAAAAGTGATACGATTTTGTATTCCCCGTTAAGAATTGCATGATTAGTGCAACAAAAAACTGTTTCTTTTTGTTTATTATTAATAATAGTAACTTAATTTCTGGCATACGTACATTGTGTACACATTTATAAAAAGAAAGTTTGGCGGGAAAAGTTGTGTAATTCTATTTTGTGTTAGCAAAAGGGTATAATAATGGGAGAAAGTGTGCGACTTGGTTTTGCGTATGTAATGTGTTGTGTTCGTGTGACAATAAATGAAAAAGGGGAGTTATATATCGTTAGTGACACGTACACGTCTTTGAGGATCGTAAAATTTAACGGTTCAAATTTCATGGAGAATGCAACACTGCATGGATAAAGCTGTTGTTTTCCTTTTTCTGATTTTGGAGATTTATGCGGTGGTTGGATTAGTCTTCCTTCCAACGTTGACCATTAGAATATTCGATTGCGAAATTAATCGTCTATCGCTATAGACTGTTTTTATATATATAACCTGTTCTTACGAAACATTATCTAAATCGAGTATCTGAGTTCTTGAAAGAGCGTGAATCAAGTTTCAGTACATTTTGAGCTCAATTAAAAAAGAAACGAATTCAAAATAAGAATCACTCAGCTTTTGTCCAACATTTAATTATTAAAGTTAAGGACAGCAACACAACAAATACGGCTTTGTTCCTTGATTCTATCCCTTTCTCCCTTTCAATTATATTCCGCTAGTTCGTATTAGGAAGTTGGCTTACGTTTCAACCGCAGAAAATTTCATTGTGCAGCGGTGTCAGCAACAAAAGGAGCAAGCACCGTGAACTCTATTTGTTTCAGAAACATTCGCGCGTAAGAATCTAGAATGTTGTTTAACGCTACATTTTTTTTTAAATGGCGTACTATCGCAGCAAGTTCCTGTTTTTGATAATCTTTTAAGAAAGATTTTTTACATAATAGGTGCTACTATAAGATAAAAGATTCTTTTCCGAGGGATATTTATTTAAAATATCTTATCATGATGAATGTACGTCAGCATTATATTTCATATTGAGGCTCATGCATATACAGAACACAAACATATATTAAAATGAGCTTGCAAAAAAGAAAAGTAATTTCTATTTGACGATGGATAGGGATAATGGGTAACGTAGAATAATAGGGGTTTTTGTTACCTAGCTTTTTTCCAGTTAGTAGAATATTACAATACTAAGATGCAACGAAAAGTAATATCAAAGATAACATGTTCGGTCAAACCTGTATATAGAGATTAATAAAATTCTGGATCTTTACAGGATCTGGACAAAATTGCGATTTTTTTCCGACCCGGATCTGGACTTATATTACAGATCATTTCCGGATCTAGTGTAAAAAGTTTTATCGTTATCCAAGTTTTGTCAATAAACTTGAAATCCTGGGAGAAAAATGTCGGCATGATTGCCTGACAAACTTGGAAGTTTCGGCATATGCCGTAACTGAAACCTGACAAAACTAGTTTCACAAATAAAGTATTATATTCCGAACACTGATACTCGGAATTTGGGAAATTTGCTGAGATCCAATTTCAATGCTAAGATTCTGAAACTGGTTTTGACATTATATTTATAAGCAGTTTCAGCATTTTATTATTTAGCATGGTGATTTTTTTATTTGTTTTAAGTCTTAGGGTAGGGTTACTGATTGATATTCATGTGTAAATTTTATGTATTAACAGTTAAAATTAAATTTTCTATCACAACGTCATTATCAACTGTGTGCAAGTATTTTATTCCTATACGAAACATTCTTTTTTTATTATGTCTGTTTATTTGTATGCATAGGGCTTCCTAATTTCCAACTGTTAGTTTATTATTGCGCGAAAGATTTATTTTACATGCATATATTACATCATTACTTACTGCGAGTTGGAGTATGACTCTTTCATCATTATCGAATGTATGCAAGTAATCATTACTATGCACAATGAGGCCTTTTTATATTGTTAATGATCATGCTAAGTATCATTACAGAGAACATGAAAAGACTTTACTAGCTTTTCAAAAAAAAATTATTTATTTTACTTATAATGTTAGCACATGAAAAATCATGTGCGAGAGTCTCACTTTTTATCATTACCATGTATGCAAAAAATCTCTTAATTCTTATACTTGTAAGCGAATTTTTAGTTTTATTGTTATCACCAAGAATATTAATCATTAAGTAAGAAGTGGAAGAACTATTTAACATATGAAATCTTATGTTAATGACGTGCAAGGAATTATTATATTTCTAATTGTTATTACTAGCTAAACTCCTGGAAAAGCTAGTTTCGAAATATTCTACGCCCTTTTTTGAGTTTCGAAGGGCAACACTAGTCATTACTCGAAAGATTGTCGCATATATAGTTTGATTGTATAAAGAAGATACCCATCGAAAAACATTTAGAATCTTATCTTTACTATAAAGAAATAAAAAATAGTTCTTGCACGCACATTCTATCTTGTTATCATACGTATATTCACCAAATCTAAGCAACAAATTATCAGAATAAAATCTATTTTTTATTTGGTTCCGTGATCAAGAAAGGCTAGTCTATTATTGACGGATTAAATTTTTACCGAAAATGCGCTAACGAAATTTTTTTCGTTCCCAAATTTTGTGATTTGCTTAGGATTTGATAAGCCGAATACTGAGTTTATTATTACCTTGATTCTGTTCTGTATTTCAAAAATTTGAATTATATCGTAAAAAACATAAAAAATACGAATAAATTTTTTTACTTATTAGCCATGTTAACATAAATTCCTGAGTATGAATTGTAATAATAGCTTGGTGTAATACAAATCCGTGATTTTTCGTAGCATTTATCGTTGAGATTTTGCAAAGTGTGAATATTGCTACCATTCAAGTTTGATAGCTGAATTTTTTTAGTATGGTAGGTTTGGTTTGCAATGCTAACAATTTTAGATATTTTAGTCGCCGTCACCGATGAATCAATGTTTACAAAGAAGCTATTTTTCAACTGGTACTCGATTTTGACACTTTAGAACTTTTATACCAGTTGCAATTTCTTATTCTGTATAGGCTGGATGAAATTTGATGAAGCTGCATCAATTCAATTGTTTAAACGAGATGAAATGAATCACAGGAAATACAATAAATGGAACACTCGATAAAATTTTTATCTCCGTCAATATTAATCCAAACAAAATAAACAAGTAATCATTTTAAACCTCGAAACCTCAATTATTTTTAAAGATAATGGAAAACAGATAATTTTAACCACTTTTGTGAAATTGAGTGATTCAACTCTAATTTTTCAATTAGTAAATTTCGACCTACATATAGAACAGATAAAAAACCAAATTTGGACACTGATTAAAAAAATATCACACTCTATCGCTATGAAATACGTACCAATTTTCATAAAAATTAGCACAAAATTATCGAGATTTAAGATCCGAATTATGCTTCTAGCAGAGATCGGACCTTCGAAATCAAATTTCGATAACGATAAATTTTCAGTCGATTATTCTGAAAATTGGTAGGTAGATTTCATAAACATTTTTAGCTAGGATTTGTTTCAATGTGAGAAATTTACTAATTGAAAATTTTGAGTTAAGCCACTCACTGTTAAAAAAAATACTAAAGGTTTTGAGGTTTAATTAAAATGACTAGTTGTTATTTTGTTTGGATTAATATTGACGGAGATAAAAATTCTAGAAAATTTTATCGAGTGTTCCATTTCTTGTGAGAGCCACTGTATATATTTGGAAAAATGGGAAATTGCGCAATCTTCCGTTTCAACAGAAATTGAGCTCGTAAATCAAACAATGGACAAAAACAAAATTGCTGCATGTCCGCCTTCTTTCACATAAATTATATTAATTTTTACAGTAAAATAACATAATTTCATATTCGTAAATTTTGTTTCACTCAATTCGATAATCGATTCCAATAAATAGATAAATCCGCAAGAGATGAATTACTCAAATTTAATTTGTTATTACGAATGGATTCTCTGATCAGACCTTATGGCTTAAAAAATATCAATTTGTATGAATATCGATATGGCAAAAGAGTTATAAATAAATCCTAGAAACATCCACAATTTGTTATAGCAAAGGAGGACCTATTTTTGAGATATGTCCCTATAAGAAATTGGTGCCTGTTAAAAAATACGGAAATATACAAAAAAGCCTATTACTTTCATAAACACATATATTTATAGATAGATGTATAATAAACACGTAAAAGATTTTAAAGTCTTTTTGTCTTATATGTTATAAAACAAGCAGGCTTTTACGATCTTTTACTTATGCAATTTAACGTGTTTTATACGTCTATGAAAACTTGTCGATTCAGCTGTTTACGAAATTAATAGACTTTTCGTATATTTCCGTATGTTTTTACAGACATTTACAGGTACCAATGGTGGGGGTTGTAAGCAAATCCAAAATATTGTCATAAACTTCACTTGAGTCTGACCTACTATCATATGGTGGATCTCATTTCGCTTTGAAATTAACAAATATGTTTAAAATAGCAATTTGAATCTTAATTTATTTTTTCCCAGTAAAGAGACATTTTCTCTAAGTTAATAACAAGCTTTTAATTTGATTAAGAATGCATATATTATAAAAATGGCTTCTAGAATAAATATAATAATAGTGCGAAGCGGCTAACGCACACTTTCATGACTGCTAAAATAAATTTGTATATTTTTTCGATTCCCAGTAGGTATTCGAATGCGAAGGACTAGAATACAAATTCAGTTAATTCAATAAATGTATTACTGATTAAATTAATAACTATTCAGAACTTGGAACTTCTGTTAAACCGGCGTTATCAGAAAATCCAGTTTATTATAATTGTTCCTAGATCCCTCAATTTCTTGAGGCGGGTTTACGATAACTATTCCTGGAATTAATTTGGCTTATATAGGTTTTAATTAGTACTTTGGTTTAACGGGGGTTGACTAGAATATTTTTAGTCAAAATAGGATATACGAAAATTCAACATATTTTATGTCTTGCTAACAGATTTTTGATTATTTACGTATTAAGAAATCGATTAACTGCAAAATATAGCAAAAAAATACGCAGAAAGTAAAAATATTTATTCTTCTTGACTGTATATTCTAACTGCAGTTTACATATTGATTTCTACATCTAAACTCATCATTTCGTCCTACAAAGGTGTTAAGACATAGCAGTACTTGAATAGTAGTGGCATTTTTAATGGTAATAATTGACTGTAATTAAATATATATAACGCGCGGTTGACCGTTAACCGATACCTTAACAGTTAAGGATTTTTCGGTTTCCAATCAGTAGAATATTCCTTAAATTCGGCGGCTTTAATATCAGCTTCCTCAAATTCAACTTTTAGAATTTTCGAAAACGGAGATCCTTCGTATTGCAACCATTTTTTGCTTTGGGTAGCAGATTTATTAATCAATGCACAAATGAAATTAGAGTATAAAAGAAATTCAAAGATTTGATTCACTTACAAAACCTCAATTTCAGTGTCTTCGCCCTGCGCTATACCCTGAACGGTTCCTTTTTCTGTTTATTTAGGATATTTATTATTTAAACATAATATGGTAAGAAAATATATTATAATTTATGTTCGTCTTACCGGTATTTTTGACCCATCCAACAAGATTTAATTCTACTGCTTTGTTCACTGTATATTTCCTAAAAAATACACCTTAAATTAAAATTATTAATAGTTTCAATTTAATTGCATATAAAAAATCAAGCTTTAACGTTAATAATAAAGAAAAAAATTAAAATACCTTGAACCGTTCCAAATACTTCATAAGTTAAAGATTTTAGTTTTGCCATAACGTTAGGAAATGTAACAAACCAATAAAATCAAGAACACATTTACGTATAAAGTACATGTATACGTATATCGGATAATTGATGCACCGCACTGTCACGATGATATGCATAAGTCAATAACTAAAAACAGTTGAAATATGTTACATGTGCATGTGAAAGTTTTAAGAATCAGAAAATTCATTCTACGTATGCATTTTACTATAAATTTCAAGTGACAAATGACAAAAAATAAAAAATGATATTGTCATTTGCCAATGCTGCCTGTGATTTGATTGTTGAGTTAGTGCCATTCATAATTTGGTGATTAAAACGCGTTCTTCCAATAAGATAAACCACCATGTTTTGACGCCGTGCTCTATTTATCTGAATCTTTTTTTATATTGTCGCCAAGCGATGAGTTCTCTGTCATTGTATTTGGTGAGCATAATGATTTATATAATGCGTTGATTGATGATTGATTTGGAAATAATTTAACATATGACAAATAACCTCTGCCAGTTTCTCAAGACAATTTGGAATGTTGAATGTACAAAAAAAGCGTCCCAAAAGATAATACGACATGAGATTGTTTCCATTACTATAGATTTAATTAATCATTGTCATATCGCTAAGAAAAAACGAAATATTTAACATCAAATATATATATGACCTGCTTTTTGAAGCGGAACATGGATAAGCAGGACCATTAGATTAGATAACGTTCATGCACATGTTTCTATATTTGTTTGACCGTTACACTGATTTCGAACATTCCAGGATAAACCGCACTTTTCGTATTACAAATCCACATACAGTTTTGTGTAAATCTCCGCATTTTACATGTATATCAAATGTAAAGGAAAAGTAATTTTAATAAACACGGTTCTGTCAGTAGTTCACATTTCTTAACAAAAACCACCTTTTTAACTTTTTTAACAAAACCACCTTTTTACAACCTGGCTCAGAACAATACTACTTACCAAAGTGCGCACAAAATCCAAGAGACGTATGACGTCTCAGTTGAAACATTGCGACGATGGGCCGATTCCGGAAGAATTGCTATTGTCAGGACACCTGGTGGAAAACGACTCTATTCAATTACTGACATACAAGAAATCTTTAGAGATAACCAACAGACACAAATCACGCAAAAGGCCAAGATCTGTTACGCCAGAGTCAGTTCAGAACATCAACGAGACGACCTTGAACGACAAATCGCAAATCTTCGACAATACTACCCAGAATACGAAATCATCAGTGATAT